GTGGGAATGATCCTTGCTGTAAAGATTTGTTCCCTCTTTTGAGCTACTACATCCGTAAGTATAGGTCAAGTTCATCAAGTTGTAGCAGATTACTCTTTTTTTTTCCCCTCTTCTTAATTATGAACTACTTTTGCAACTAGTTAGCATACTAAGCACACAGTAAGTACTCAACAAATGTTAATATTGTTAATATTGAGCACTCACTGTGTGAGAGAAAGCGGAGGCTTTCTGCTCCTGAGAAGATTTAAAGTCTTGGAAACCCTACACAGGGTCGCTATGAGTTAGAACTGACTCACAAGCACTTAACAACAACAACAACAACAACAGCTGTGTGGTGAAAGAGCCCTGGAAGTATAGTGGGTTATGGTTTGGACTGCTAATCAAAAGGTCAGCATTTTGAATCTACCAGTTACTCTGCCAGAGAAAGATGAGACTTTCTGCTCTCACAAAGATTAAGTCCCGGAAACCCTATACAGGGTAAGCTATGAGTCAGAACTGACTCAGTGGCACTTGGTAACAACTGTATACCAGGGAAAAAGACTAGAGGAGAGATAGTGTCAAAGAATTAGTCAGGGACTGGATCATGAGGGATTTTGTAAGGCATGGTAAATATACATTCATAGATTTATCTGGGAAGAAGTCCTTAAGCTTGAAGAAATTCTCTATTAAGCTAGAGAGTGACATGAACAAATTGGCATTAAAAAAAAAGAAAAGTTCTGACTACTTTGTGAAGAATAGATTTGAGGAGGGCAGAACCAGAAGTAAGAGGCTGGGGAGCTAGTCCAAGAGACAGGTGATGGTTAATTTGGAATAGAAATTACTGGATTAACTGATGGATGGTTGTGGGAGGGTGAAGGAAAGAGGCATGAAAAATGACATCTAGGTTTAGGGTTTGAGAATTAGAGTTCGTGATTGTTTTATTTTTTGAGATGGAGAAGACTGGGAGAGCATATGATGTTGAACATACAAGGAATTTTCAAAAAGTTCAGGAAAAATGGAATTACATGATAATGGAATTTTTCCATAGATTTTGAAACTCCCTTAATTAGGTTTAAGGGGTTTTTCTCACATGCAAATGGAGAGAGATGTCTAGCAGTCAACAAGATACATAAAATACATAACTCTGAAGTTCAGAGGCAGGAAAGGTTGGGACTAGAAATATAAATATGGAGTCATTGGCATTTACATGATGATGGAACTAGATGAGGTTCCCTTAGAATGCTTCAGTCAGGGAATGGAGTGAGCAAAATGGAGTCTGAGTAGAGGAGGAGACTGAAGAAGGAAGACTCAATGAAATAGGAAAAAAACCAGCATAGTGTTTTCATAGAAGCTGGGAGTGGAATATTTCAAGGAAAGTGGTCCACGTGTATATGCTGCAGAGAAGTCACAAAAGAACAGAAGATGAATGGATTTAGCACCACAGGAGGTAGATAACCTTGACAAGAACACATTCTGTGTATGGAAGGACAAGTCTGATTGGTGTAACTTAAGGAGAGACTGTGGAGGTGAAACTGAGACAATGGGATAGATTACGGACAAGCTTTTGTTGTGCAGGGTATGTGGAAGAGGTCATAGGGTCAAGGGAAAATTGTTTTAAAGAAAGAAAATTCTAGAGCAGACTTGCTTGGTGTTGTCTCTGACCAAGTAAAGAGGTTAGAAACTGATGATGGTACAAGAGAAAGTCTGTTATTCAAGATGACTTCATTGATAAAGCAAGAGAAGATGGCATGAGAGTCCTAGCAGAAGAGATTGTCTCTAATATTAGCAGTGACACACAAATCAGTTGATTGTAGATGAAAGAAAGTCCAAGAGTTTGAGAGTGAAAATGCAGGTGGTTTGTTGAATATTCATTTCTCTTTCACCCTGTAAAATATTTCTGCTTTGTTGTTAAGTGCTGTCGAGTTGGTTCCGACCCATAGTGACCGTGTATAGAGTTTCCAGGGAGTTGCTGGTGAGCTTGAACCGCTGACCTTGCAATATCAAACTGAGTTTGCAGTTCAGCACATTAACCCACAGCGCCACACCAGGACTCCTGTTTTGGAAGTTGGAAAATTGAGGTTTAATGAGAGGGGGGGGAGTGCTTTTATTTGTGTTACATTGTGGCTCAAAAGCATCAGTAATTATAGAACTCAATTTATCACGACTTCCAGGTGAATGTTACAGTTTAGTATGTTCTTTGAGAGTGGAATATCATAAAATACAAATGAATGTGTATTGTGTCTTCTTGTCTCATTTGGGTATTTTGTTCTAGGGACAGATCTGGAAGCATCTTTGCTAAGTTTTGAAAAGCTGGACCGTGCCTCACCAGACCTTTGGCCTGAACAATGTAAGTTTTGGTTTGTTTACATCAGAATCAACACAGGAGAACTAATGTTCCTTTGAGGGAGGTTTTAAAGAGTTAATATTTAACTGTAAAGAAATTTTTATTTTACTTAGTAGAGAAGATACCTGACTGAATTCTGTAGTCCAATGTTAAGAATAGTTGTTGGGTGGTTTAATTTTTGTTCAGAACTCATTATGACATAATTATTGTTAAATTTCACTTTATACAGATAAGTAGATAAATATATTTAAAAATATGTAAGTAGTTATATGTACTGAGCCATCTAGCAATTTGTGAACTGCAGTTTAACTTAATCCACCTTGTAATTTGTTAATGGAGTCCTGGTGTGATGCTGTGGGTTAATGTGCTGGACTGCAAAGTCATTTGAACTGCAAGGTTGGTGGTTCAAGCTCACCAGCTGCTCCTTGGAAACCCTAAACAGGGTCACTATGGGTCAGAACTGACTTGACGGCACTTAACAACAACAACAACAGTTTGTTAATGGAGCTTTTCAATGTTGGTATATATAGATATGGACTCCTGCTCAGGATAAGCACTGGACTGTGAACCACAAGGTCAGCAGTTAAAACCCACCAGCTGCTCCTCGGAAACCCTATCCAGGGTCGCTAGGAGTCAGAACCGACTCAACAGCACTTAAGAACAGCATGTATAGATACACGAAGCCCTTGTGGTTTAACTGTTCAGCACTTTGCTGCTAACTGAGAAGTGCTAAGTGAGTGGCTCTGCAGGAGAAACACCTGGATCTCGGTTCCTAGGAAACCCTGTCACCCGGGCTTGCTGTGATTGGAAGTGGAGTTGGTGACACCCAACAACACAGAACTCTACTTCATTTTTTTAAATGGTTGCACAGCATTTTTCTATACTCTCTATTTGCAAACCTAAGTTATGTCTCGTGTTTTATTTTACAAATAATTTAACAGTGGATTTACTTGCATATAGGAGCCCTGGTGGTGCTATAGGATAAGCACTGGACTGCTAGCCACAAGGTTGGCAGTTCAAACCCACTAGCTGCTTCTCAGGAAAAAGATGAGGCTTTCTGCGCCTGTAAAGATTTCCAGCCTCAGAAACCCTAGACAGGATTGTGATAAGTTGGGATCAACCCCATGACAGTGGGTTTGGTTCTTTTTTTTATCCTTGTACATATCTTTGTGCACATGGAAGAAGATGACTTGTGTATGAGTGTGCTCATCTCACAAACTCACAAGTATTGGACCTTTATTACCCATCTTTATTTTCTTTGCATTTCTCTACTAGCAAGAGTAAGGAGCTCTGGTAGTGTAGTGGTTATGAATTGGACTGCGAACCTTAAGGTCAGCAGTTCAAAACTGCCAGCTGTTCCTCAGGAGGATGAGGCTTTCTGCTCCCGTAAAGATGTACAGCCTTGGAAACCCTGTGCAGGGTCGCTATGAGTCCGAACCAACTCCATGGCACATAACCATGTCAACCACCACTAGTAAGAGTGAATATTTTTTTCATTTTAAAGCATCTGATTTTTATTTTTCTGCTCTCAATATGATTATTCCTATGAGACACTTAAACAATTGGATCAAAAGAATGGCATACCTAGAAAGGAAATTTGATCTAAACTTTCTGGTAAGAGACATTATATCTCCCACCTTCCCATCTGGCTAACTCCTGGTCCTTTTGTCTTTCAAGGTTCAGATGATGCATCCTTTTCTCTGAGAAGCTTTTTCTGCCTCTTTGGTTTGATACGTTTCCATTGTTTGTTCTCCTAGAACACCTGGTCTCCACCTTGGAGCACTTAATATTATAGCTATGGATTTACTCTCTCGCCTCTTCCAGACTCTAAGCTCATTGAGGGCAAGGCTGCTTTCTTATTATTTGAATCTTCTGTACCTAAGATGTTCAAATATCTATTGGCTGAAATGATTTTTTTCCTTTTTTTAGTACCAGGTGTTGCCGAATTTGCCTCTTCCTTCAAAAGTGTAAGTAATATCTTGCTTACCTAGTGAAGTTTATCCAAAGTACTGCTCCTGGATAAAAACTCAAATCTCTAGATTTTCAAGGATAATATCATAGCCTTCAAATCATTTTGTAACTGCAATTTGGAAATCTGTTTATAATTAATCATCGTGATATATGGTGATACTTTCTTCTCTGCCCCACTGCTCTTCTATTTTGGCATTTGAAATGTCTTAGTGGCCCATCAAAAACTTGAAGGAAGACGTCCATTACAATTACAGACTTTTTCCTTTCAAGAGTACAAGGCATTGTGTTAGATGCTCTACATATATTAATTTATATATGATGGGGCTTTGAAAAATGTGTGGAAGAATTCCATTATCTTTTAATTCCATTTTTCCAGGAGCTTTTTGAAGGCCTCCCCCCATCCCCCCCACCCCCATATTTTAACAAAGAAGAGGAAAATGATGATAATATTACCTGATACTTAATGTAATGCTTACCATGTACTGAAGCCATTTCAAGCACTTTGGATATAGTAGCTTATTTAATCGTCACAAAACCATAAAATATACATGTTTTACATACAAGGAAATGGGCACAAAGAAATATGTTGCATAAAGTTATAGGCTGTAAGTGGCAGAACTTGTTAGTTTAATTAATGTTTACAGAGTGCTATTGATCATCAAAGAATGTTGCTTTCTGTGTATAAACTTTTTCTTTACTTTATAGTCACTACTGTATGTTATGCAAGATTTGTCCTTTTGTGATTGCCTTACTTTACTCAGAATCATGCCCTTCGTGTTCATCCATGTTATGAGCTGTTTCATGGATTCATCATTATTCTTGAATGTTGCATAGTACTTCACTATGTGTATGTGCCATAGTTTTTTAAATCGATTCATCTGTTGTTGGACATTTAGGTTGAATCCCTCTTTTTGCTGTTTTGAATAGTGTTGCAATGAACATTTCTTATTTCTCTAGGATATATGAGGGTAAAGGAGCTCTGGTAGCATAGTGGTTGCAAGTTAGGCTGCTAACCTCAAGGTCAGCAGTTCAAAACTACCAGTTGTTCTGTGGGAAAAGATGAGGCTTTTTGCTCCTATAAAGATTTGCAGCCTCGGAAATCCTATGCAGGGTCACTATGAGCCGGAACCAGCTCCACGGCACACCACCACATGAGGGTAGTCAAAAAGTATTGCTACAAAGGCAAGAGTTTATACATGCACAAATTTATTGCAAACATATGTGTTTAAGTATGCTTGTATGGCTGCACACAAGTTCTGTGGGTAGTATATTTGTCTTAGTTGATTAGAGTGCCTTTAACAAATAAGGAAGCTAAAAGAGGTGCACAAATGTCAGCTAGCCTGAAGAGCTGATCTTTCCATCAGTCTTTTAAGCAAGATCAAAGCTAATGAAGACAGTTTTATGGAATGAGTTGGAATCGGGGACAAATCTTGGATTTACCAAAACGATCTAGAATTGCTGTTGTTAATGATCTAGAGAATGAAGTCCACTCGAAACAGGGCCTTCCAAAAGAATCTGCTGGCTCAGTTTAAGTCAGATGATCCCAAAGGGGTCATCTAGATAGATTTTCCCAAAGGACATAGGAAAATCATAGGGACTTATTAGGAAGATATTTTAAGAAAATTGCATTGGTGAGGAAAGGTGGATGGAGAAATGTTCTCCCAAAGGACCTTGAAGTTCAGCGTATTGCCCTGCTGCACCACAGAGAGATGGAAACAACGTCTTCAGAAGTGTTGTTAGGTGCCTTTGAGTTGGTTCTGACTTACAGCGACCCTGTATACAAGAGAACAAAACACTATCCAGTTTTGCACCATCCTCACAATTGTTATGATTGAGCCCATTGTTG